GAAATGATATCCTCTACTTAGCAACCCCTAACCCCTAAAATCGGCCCCATTTTCCAAATTAAAAAAAAAAAAAAAAAATCAGTCTCCATTTGTTTTGTATTCTTGATAAGTGTAACAGTGTTACTTTAGAAAGCAGTAAACTAAGCAAAGTCTACAACCATATTGAAGGTAAATTTAACTCAGATCCAGCCCATTTCTAGCAATCACTACAGGGCAACATGTAACTTTCATTGTGTCTAGATAACGAAAAAGTAAACAACTAAAGTTTTCCCTCCTTTTATGGGTCTTCCTGAACCATTTTATTGTTTCATTTTGTACATTAGCACTTCATTAACCAGACTGAATTTATACCAAAGAAGATTTAACTAATACTTCCTATAGTAGGCCCAATAACTCAATATAATATAGAGGTACTGACCATTTAATTGTGCCCCAAATATAGTTCCCATACCTCACAGGACAGGGTAGAATCCAAGGACACGTAACTTCTATGATGACCTCAATTTATGTTTCAGTAAAAACCCACATATATTTCAACTTCCTTTTGCAGTGTTTTGAACCCATTCATATGTAAACCCAAGATGAACCAGTCGGGTTTCATTTTCAAATACAGTGGTGCCAAATCTTCTTGGCTGGAAGGCTGGATGAGCAGTGCCCAATCCCTTTGCAGGCTGGTCCAGCAGGTGGACCCAATCCAACACCACAGGCAGGTGCAATGGGGCCCCATCCGGGCACATGGAGTGGGGAGGGGGACAGCCTGACCCCAACCCAGCTATGCAGAGAAGATGACTTAGCAAGCCCAACCTGCCCCTGTGGAAGAAAAGAGTCATGACTCAGCCCCAGAGTAGCTGTGCAGGGTGAGGGGGTTTGGCCTACCTCTGTGGAAGGAAGGGGTGTGGCGGGACCACAATCTAGTCGGACAGAGGGAAGGGGGCATAGCTTGGCCCCAATCTGGCGGCGTAGGGCAAGGGTTGTGACCTGGTTCCAACCTGCCCTACAGTTTGAGATTTTGGCAGCGGAGAGCAGAGGGAGTAGTGCCACTGCTCCCCCGCTGCCTAATTTCCTGATCCGTCGGGAGCGCCCCCCAGGCCAGATTCCAAGTCTCCAGGGGCACTTGGTTGAGCACCTAAGCGCAAGTCAAATGTGAAGCGTGAAACAGGCAAAGGACAGATTTATTTTTAGTTTAATTTAGTTGCAACAGATCCATGTGTGAATATTAAGTTTTATTAAGCAACCCTGACTCCAAGGAGCATCTAGTGACCGTATCCAAACAGCCATAAATATACCTGCAAATACCAAGGATGCGGATCACAAAGCTGCCTGCCTCTGAGCTCGTATTGGAAAGGACAGACAGTGGCTTTTTATGAGGGTCTGTCAAAAAGCCCATGTGTGATTGATCCACATCCCATTCCTCATCGTCTCACCTGTTCTAATGGTGGAGAAAACACCTCCCTGGACAAAGGCAGGCATAAAGTTGTTTTCTCACATATTCTAATAGTGAGAAAACACCTCCCCCAACTCCCTCTCAAAGTACTGAGGAAGTAGGTGACCCTGGGGGCAGGTGGGGGGGGGGGTAATGCCCTAGGTCTCCCTCAAATGGTAGTCAGGGTCTTTTCCAACCCTGCACCCTGCCCTCACCCTTTGGCCCCTAAGTCTTTGCTGGGGGTGACTGAGCAGGACATGAGGGTGGCCACTACCCCTCTCCTCTCACCTGGCCTTACATGCCCCTGAGGAAGAACCAGGAGCCACCCCAGAGAGCACCTGGACCCCGGAAGAAACCCCCTCCTGAGCCTGGAGCTGGGCCTGCACCGGTAACCGCAGGACCCCTCCCCACCCCCACGCCTCACGGATGGTTCCTGCCGGCGTCC